AAAATCGAAAAAGACTTCAAAGTTGCCTGCGTGATCGTTCTCACATCATTATACCAATCAAAACTTAAATTACCATTCAACAGGACGCTTATTAACATTGCATACAATAAATTGCAGTAGTTTTTAATGCGCACATGTAAGTTAATTAGGTTTAAAACTAACAAGCGAAATGAAAAGAAGACACATACCGCGAGAGTTTCTTGGATGGGAGTTTCATCAACCTGCACAAAAGAATCATTAGAATAAGTAAAGAAGCAGCAAAAACAACAGACAATCGACAAGAAAAATAATCCATATGGGTTTCATCATTACAAAATTATCTAGGCCAACAGTGCGAAAGTCATCATCATAGTAGTATTCAGAAGTGTATGTGTCATCTTCGTAGTCTTCACAAGTGCCGGTGTCATTTTCATAGACCTCAATGGCATCCAAATTCTGGACTTTTTTGTATGAAACCCCAACAGCTTCGTCGGCAGTGTCAATGACATCAATAGACCTCTTCAACGACTTTAGAACACCGGAATTCATGACCTCGTCCTCTGCATCCATCATCTTTGATTCCATTTCTTTCCCTTTTGACAAATTTAAGGTCAATATAGATGAATATTGTCAGCAAAAACAAATATAACGCCTGAAATCCTTAACCTGTAGATAAATTATCCATCAAATACAAATTACAACACAGAAAGAGAGATTGATTGGAACAACATAACAACTAAATCAGAGCATTGTGAGATGCCGTGTTACCTTTTATATAAAAATTAGAAAAAAAAAATTAAAAAATTGATAAACCTGGGGCTGGCTGCTACATGCTGGGACTAAGAGCAACAAGGAAAAATTGTGAACCATACACATCCATCAACAAGTCCACAAACCATTGAATTGGGCAAAAAATGCAAATAAACTACCAGAAAAGAAACAATCATATACCGAGTCCATCAACAAGCTTGAATCTAAACATATAAAACACAAATTCGCACAAACTTTAAAGCTTAGATGTCCACCAACCATGAAATAAAATCAAATTAAATCAAAGAAATTCAAAGGCACCACACCAAATATTCAAAGCTAAAATGTTCATCCATCGTTACCTGAATGTATTGCCGGAAAGAAGCCGCCTCGCGGCCGGCGCTAGGGTTTTTTGCCTTTGGGAAACTTTAGGATTTGGGAGGAGTTGCGATATTACAGAATAGGTTTTGCACTCTTGGTAAGGGACAAGGTTTGCTTCCCTGTTTCCTAGGTTCTGCAGGTGCTGGCCTGAACTTGGGTTTGTACCCCTTTGGGTATTTGAACAATGAACTATGTTATGTATGTTATTATTTGAGTTATGATTAGTAAAAGGCTAAAAACAGCCAGACAGAAACAACCAGTTAAATCTAGGAAGAGCACTAACAAAAGTTTCCTACACTAAAAAACTAAAATACAAGGAAGAGAAATCTAAATTTCTGGCAACGACAACGTGTACTGAAATCGGGATGGTAGACACTTATTCCCAACACAAAAACTATGAACTCCCCGAAAGGAGAGACTACTTACTCCAAACGAGTGGAGAATACCTACTCCAACTAGTGGAGAATAACACACTAAAACTAACTAAACACACACTTAATCTAACTATAAACTACTACCTCCCCTATTAATGCAAGCAACCCCCCTACTAACGCAAGCAACCTGTAGCAAAAACCCAGTCGAGCATACAAGCCAAAAACCACACAGAACAAACCCATGATCAGAACCTAAATAGCTAACCCGAACACTAAAACCTCCACAAAAAGCAACTAGAAGAAAAGAGAGAGAGGCGCAGCAGATCTAGGACAGAGGAAATAGGAAAATTGAGGGCAATATTTGAAATATTCCTTGATATATACATACGCAACTTACTTGTTATTTTTTTTTTCCAACGACAAACTGAAGCACAACATAAAACTCAAAGAAATTTACAACCGGAATGACTACAAACCAAAGGCAAATCACACAAACAAATGCATGAATCCTTCAGCCGTGGAAGTGACAAGTTAATTCCCCTCCCAAGCCTTCAAGACTAAAGCATTACTATCTACACATAAAGCCGGATCAAAATGAAAAAAGCAGTTTAAAGAAGACCTAGCCAGGGATACAATATCTTATCTCCATGCACCACTCTAAGAAGATGCGCACCTTACATTATGTTAAATGTTGGCATACCACATGGGTGTTTCATCTAAAACTCAAGTTTTCATATTTTTGGCTACGCATGATGGCGGGATGAAAACGACTGCTATCGTAATAAAAGCATATGCATATATAACATCAACATTAGTAAACATAAGGCGAGGAGGACTAACAATGAGATGACTGGTTTAGACAGGGAACATTACACGTCAACCACAAAAAAGGCCCCAAGAATTCCAATGGGATAGTATGCATCTCCATTGTTCTCCACTAAAGAAAGCGTTTATCACCTAATAGTAACAATGAGACAGGTAAATTAAAAGTGTAATCATATCCACATAGGAGCCTGAAATTCCTCAGAGAGGAAATAGTGCTGCAACCCAATCTTCTCACAGAGGTAAACTGGCGTCACACAGTATCCGAATATCATGGACATCACCCCACTGTTAAGAGAAGAGAAAAAATCGATTGGTATGAAAATATCCATAGCTAGAATATTTAATGCACGAAGACAATATAATAACATGTTAAAGAGACAACCTTACAACACTCGCACGATCTTTTCCTTCGGATGCACGATCAAAGTAGGTATCACCTCTGATAAGAGTCATTCGTTCTTCAACCTTCTCTGCAGTATAAATTACTCGACGTTCAGTACCTCTTGAAAGACCTTTCAATGGTGCAAAAATGCATAGAACCTGTAAAAATAAGAAATGATTTTTGTTTTAATGATATTTTCCATCATGTATTGGAGAGCCGAAAGGACGACATTAAACATACCTCAAATTCATCCACCACACGTCGATCAGTTTCCTCCTTCAGCCAATCGAGAAAAATATCATTCTTCAAGATTTGCCTCACCTTCTCATTAACACTAGAAGCATCATCAGTAGTACAGCTGTCCTTCTTAAGAATCCTAAGAATGTCCCTAAAAAGGTTCTCAAGGGGATCTTCATTTTTCAGTTTGCCTTCTAGTCTGGAATACATCATCATATGACGTGGACTCTACAAACAAGTGCAATTTTTCGGCAATAAATTCAGATCCGTTGTGATGCCGATCTACATAGTAATTAGGTAAAATTATTATCTGACTAAGCTGAATTTATTAGAGAACAGAAGGTAAGAAGGAAAAACCATAAGAATTCATAACAAGAACTCCAAAAATGATGGCAGGAGATTGATCTGAATAACCAGAATTTATTTACTATTTCAACTGATAAACTGAATAACCAGAATTTATTTACTATTTCAACTGATAAACAGGTGAACAAACATACATATCAAAACGACGCACTAACTCACAACTTGTAATGATCAATGATTGGACACACAGACACTAACATTTGCATATTACAAACAAAGATTAAACTATGGAAAAACAAAAATTACACAATTGACACTTAAGCGTGTCAAGGGGTTGGCAGTTCTCTTTCGAATTTAATCCAGAATAGTCCTTCATTCAAAACACTAATCAATAGGATTATCTTTCAAAAATCAAAAAAGACTTAAAAGTTGCCTACCTGATCGTTCTGACATCATTATTCCGATCAGAACTTAAATCACCATTCAACATAGGACGCTTATTAACATTCCATAAAATAATTGCAGTTGTTTTTAATGCGCTAACACAAGTTAATTAGGGTACCACTAACAAGCGGAAAAGAAAAGAAGACATGCCGTGAGAGTCTCCTGGATGGGAGTTTCATCAACCTGCAAAAAGAATCATTAAAATATGTAAAGCAGCAGCAAAAACAACAGACAATCGACAAGAGAGATAATCCATATGGGTTTCATCATTACCATTTCATCTACGCCAAAGAAGCGGAAGTCGTCATTATGGTAGTAATCAAAAGTGTAGGTGTCATCTTTGTTGTCTTCAGAAGTGTCGATGTCATCTTCATAGACTTCATCATCGTCAATGGCATCCAACTTCTGGACTTTTTTGTCCAAAACCCCACCCGCTTCGTCTGCGGTGTCAATGACATCTATAGACCTCTTCAATGAGGTTCCAACATCGGAATTCATGACCTCATCCTCTGCATCCATCGTCTTTGTTTCCCTCTCTCTCCCTTAGATGAATACTGCTCAGCAAAACAAATTGAATTGGGCAACAAAGAAAATTTATGAACTACACATCCATCAACAAGTCCACCGCCAACCATTAAATTGGGCAAAAAATGTAAACAAACTACCATAAAGGCAACAACCATTTACCAAGTCCATCAACAAGCTGTAATCTATACATATAAACATAAAAGTCATACAAACATTAAAGCTTACATGTCCACCAACCATGAAAAAAAATCAAATTCCATCAAGGAATATCAAAGGCACCGCACCAAGTAATCAAAGCCAAAAAGTTCATCCATCATTACCTGAATGCATTACCGGAATGAAGCTGCCTCGCCACCGACGGTAGGGTTTTTTTTGCCTTTGGGTTTTTTTTTTATTTATTTTTTATTTTTTAATATATAAGCTTGCGTGACGGGCTTGGGCTTGGAACGTCAAGGCGAATACCAACACGGCCCACCGTAAAGATTATATTATACATATATATATTTTTGGGTTTGGCGGTTTCCGCAGTGATGCTCACAGGCGCGGCCTTGCTAGCTCTGTAACCTTTCTTCGCTCGCGGGCTCACCACCTTCGCAATTCCATATGATTCAAGCCCTCAAATTAGGGTTACGGTGTCCAAGTCCGGTGTGGTACATATTACCTGCGCAATGATTACCATTTTTTCCTGACAAAAGGTAGCTCCTTTTTTGGCTAACATTCGGTTTTCTTGCAGCTTTTCCACAGTGAATCATAGGCTCTCCACGAACTGTTATCCGTCTCGTCTGTGCGTGAAAATGACTTCGCGAAGGCTCCATTCCAGTTCACGAGCACCCATTGCAGAGAGCTCGGACGAGTCGACTCGCGTCGACGTGCCGAAATCTGAAAAGGTTGCCTCAAAGGTCACATTTTAACCGCCCATATGCAGAAATTAATGTGCGTGCTTTAATGGGTGTGTTGAATTTATGTGCTATTTGGAGCTGTGTGGTGTAAAAAAGTGGGTTTTTGCTTCTGGTGTGATAGGTGTCTGCTGGGGAGAGTGGGATTCTTGTGGATGAGTTTGGTGTTATCGAGAAAATGACTGTTCAGGAGCTCAAAGCGAGGTTAAGGTGACTGTAATTTTTTTTTTATTATTATTATTCTTTTGTCATTCTATAAATTTTGAGTTGTTAGTGGTGGGAGAACGGAGAGGATATATGATGTTTGGTTAATTTTGTTTTATTTTTTGCTAATGAACTTGGTGTGTTTTCTTGGATGATGCATCACAAAAGAACTAGTAATGTATGTTCGACTTTCTTGATCTGCAGTTCTATATATACGTTTTCTTTCGCCGTTACGTTTTTTGTGTTCCACTTCTATCTGCGAATGCAATTGTTAATGCATTTAAAGTTTTTGGTTTTTTGAACTCGTAGGAGTATTGGGGCTCCTGTGAAGGGTGCTAAGCACGAACTTGTCTCTGCATTGAAGAGCTTTATGAACAGTAATGCTGATGGTATATTTTTTTTTTTGCATCACACTGTTTGTGGTGACTCATTGATTCTGAAATCATTTTCATGCTATATCTTTATTCTAACATGAATAAATTATACCAGGCAAAGTTGTAGTTCCTTCAGATGAAGAATACCAAGTTATCTCCAAAAGGAAGGTCGAACGAACAACTGAAACCCATAGTGATGATCAAGTTGCAAACAGTGTTTCAGACATTTCAGGAAGTAAAAGAACAAAAAGGCAAGCAAAATCTTTACGGAATGAGGAAGAACTGATTGTGGAATCAGTTGAAATAAAAGGTGATGTGACTTGTATATTTGAATTATGGTCTGTATAATCACATTCTTCACATTTTTTCTTTGTGACTTGATGGTTCGTTACTTTTTTTTTCGCTAATGGTATCAGATGAAAAATCAAGACAAGGGGATAAGAAAGTCTCTTCAAGGACCACGAAAGCTCGTTTGAATGTCGAGCTTTCTGTGGATGAGCCTTGGACTGTTCTTACTCATAAGAAGCCACAAAAAGAATGGACGGCCTACAATCCTCGGAATATGAGGCCACCGCCTATTGAGGCCGATACTCCACATGTGAAGCTATTGTCTTGGAATGTAAACGGGTTGAGAGCTTTGTTGAAGTCGGAGGGTTTTTCGGCTTTGCAACTTGCGCATAGAGAAAATTTTGACGTGTTGTGCTTGCAGGAGACAAAGTTACAGGTGGGTTTTCACTTCTTTTGTTGCTATCTCTGATTTCTGGTGTTTAATTAGCGTGCGCTATGAAACTCTTGGGAATTTGTAAAGCGACAAACTCTTTGAAAGAAAGTTTAGAGTTAATTTGCATGTCATTAACTTTGTGGCATGAGAGGCTCATCACATTTAGTTGAAAATGCATGAAGAAAATGCTCAGATGAAGTATATATTAAGTGTTTCAGATATTGAGGGAAAACAAAGGAAAAAAAAAATATATCATACCCCCTAATCAACTGACATTCTAATAATCAATGCTGTAGACTGATATTTTTTTTTTTTTTTTTCTGAGAGGCTAGGAAACAGGGCTTAATCCTAGCGGAAAATTCATTAGACGATTTAACATTTTAGCGAATCTATTTCTATTTGATCTGAATCAGGAGAAAGATGTTGATGCAATCAGGATATCTCTCCTGGAAGGTTATGATAACAGCTATTGGACGTGTAGCGTCTCGAAATTGGGTTATTCAGGAACAGCTATCATATCACGGGTAACCTTTATTTTCCTGCTCTCAAACATTCCTTGTTGCATTTAGTATTTATGATACAACTTGATAAACTTATTTTACTGTTGGAAACAATAGGCACATGCTATTTTGGTTTTTAACGATCTACCTTTGACAAAAATCGTGTCAATGGTTCTGTTTCTAAATGCTTGTGCTCGTTATGTAATTTACTAGGATTGGCTTAATTAAAAAATATTTGAAGTTCATTTAATTCTATCAATCGTCTTGTGAAGCACTATGGTTCTTTTTCTTTTTTCCCGTTTTGCAGATAAAACCTCTTTCTGTAAGATATGGTTTGGGCATTGCGGATCATGATAGTGAAGGCCGCCTCATGACTGTAGAATTTGATGACTTCTATTTATTGAATAGTTACGTTCCTAATTCTGGGGATGGTCTAAAACGACTGGTAAAAGAACTTACGACCCCTTTTATATATATACTAGCAATTGTTTTGCTTGTAATTGTTTAGTTTTGGGACAATGACAAACAATTCCTTTGTCTGTAGTCATACAGAATAACCGAATGGGATCCTTCTCTGAGCAACTATATGAAAGTAAGTCTCGTTCAGTGGTATAATCGCGTAAAATCGTTAATAAAACTGCATAGCCAGTTATATAAGTGCATTTTTTTTTTTTAAATATTATGCTGTTATTTAGTTGGAATTTTTTGCCTTTTACAGGACCTGGAAAAGTCGAAGCCTGTTATTCTGACCGGTGATTTGAACTGTGCTCATCAAGAAATAGACATTTACAATCCGGCGGTGCGTAAAATATAATCTCACTTCAGTGTTATTTTCAACTTTCCTTTTGAATACACATAACTGATAAACCATCATAAAGATGCAATAAATTATAGCTTGAATTTACGCGAGATTTTTGAATTTCGGTATCTTATGATCAGGGGAACAAAAGGAGTGCAGGCTTCACAGATGAAGAAAGAAAGTCATTCGAGGCGAACTTTTTGGACAGGGGCTTTATCGACACTTTCAGAAAACAACATCCGAACGTTATTGGCTATACATATTGGGGTTACAGACACGGTGGAAGAAAAACCAACAAAGGTAATTTTTACGTCTGAGCTAACAAACTCGAACAAACACAAACTGTGAAAAAAGGATAAAAATGGAAGAAAAAGAAAATGAAGAAAGAAAAGAACCTCATGTGTCTTGCTTAACATTTTTTTTGAATAGGTATATATGTTAACTAGATTGAACTGGATTTCTTATTTCCTTTTTCCTTTTTTTTTTGTTTAAAATTAGGGTGGCGACTCGACTATTTCCTAGCATCAGAATCTATTGCAGAACGAGTACATGACTCGTACATTCTTCCTGATGTGGCTGGGAGTGACCATAGTCCCATTGGTCTAGTTCTCAAACTATAAATTATGGCTAAATCTCGCGTAATTTTGATTTTTTTTATTTTTATTTTTAGTTTTTCCGAATATTTTCAAGATCTTATCATGTAGTGATCTTGGAAATGGTTTTGCATGGGGCTTGTACCTTGCCCTGAAATTTAAGGTTTCACATATTTATCAAACAAAACTTAACCAAGGTATGATTTAATCAAAACAGTATATGATATTCAAATTGTCTGTCTGTTGATCGATGGTTTTGAAGAACTGAGTTTTGAGAAAATTGTTACGTTGAATGAATCCATTTTTATTTGCAAAAAGTTTATATAATAAGGGAAAATACTGCGGTCCCGTTATGGAACTATTTCATTAGGATTTGTAACTGTTAGATCATTATGTAATCGTCGGAGATAGTTGATCTAACGGTTACTAACTCTGACGAAATGATTCTGTAACAGGACCGTAGCATCTCCCATTAATAAGACAACAATAATAGTAAAAAAAACTTTTTCTTTAGGGAAATTTTGTCAAACATTATAAGCTCAATAATGACTACAAATGCAGATTGCTTTTAGGCTTAGCTATACTTTCTTTTTTGAGTTAATCTCAGATCATATAACTCTAGAGAATCTCAACCATTCAAAAAACCACAATAAAAGCCAAAGGAAACTAATTCAAACAAGTAAGAACAATAAGAATGAACATCTTTATAATTTAATTTCTAACAAATCAAATTTGAACACCAAATTCCATGTATCCTTTGAAGCTAACAGGAGGCCATCTTTTCTATAACCTAAGGTTGGCCAAAAACAAGAAAAGAGTATCTCAAAGTCTTACATGAAGAACTAACAACACCAAAAAAGAAGAAAAAAAAAGGCATGTCTCGATTTGTTCCGGTCTTCACTCACGAAACACGTTTCCAATTCTCCCGAGCTCTCACACGTTGACTGGTGGGCCCACACGAGCTCAACCCGTTATTCCACTCTATATAACTGTCTCGTCCGCCTTGTTTCCCTCGATACGCTCCACCTGAGCCATTATTATCCGCACGAACCTCCAAAGCCTCGTAGCTCGACACCTGTCCATCATCTCCACTGCCCATCCCAAAATTTCTGTTTTCGACATATGGCCCCACGTAACCGTAATAACTACCATAATACCCCCAGCCCCAGTCGTTATTATTCCAACCGTAGTTACCAAATTCATTTCCACAACCATACCCATATTGCCACCCATTATCATATTCATACCATCCAAGATTCCAGTTTTGCCCCTCGTAGCTGACGTGGCATTTATTATTATGATTGCCCGAGTTTTCGAAGTTCTCGGCTTCATCACCCCATCCTGCAAGGGATAACCCGTGATTCGTGGCGAACGAGTCTCCGAATATAACGACAGGCTCAGTACAGCCAGTAATAGGGGAATAAACGGGCTGTGGGCTTTCAGGGTCGGGACAGTCCTCAGGAGCAATTTTGGAATTCCAGTCGATTTTATCGATATAAAGATTTGGATCGGGCAGAGGGGAGTCGCAACAAAGCCCGTTTATTCGGGCCCAGTAACGCGTTTTCGCATGGTGAAAGGCCTCCTCACCGGCCGAGTCGTCCCATTTTATCACATTCTCGTAAAAATGCATGCACTTCTTCATCTGAAGAAGTTTTTCCCAATCGAGCGAGCACTCGTATTTGCAGAAATCCTTTTCCCATGAGGGAACCGAGCGCTGCCAAGAAACTTAACGAGAGAAAAAGGAACATTTATTTATTTATTTTTTTGGAATAATATTCCTCGAATGAGATTTTGGGAGATTATTAGAACACGTAAAACGAACAACAAATTATCGAACCAGCAATGCAGATACATAAATGCTAATAAGCTGCTCGACAAATAATTTTCGACCGAAAAAACTCGAGCTGCTCAACAAATAATTTTCAGATCATGAGGAGTTATGGGATAAGATATTTTCCTTTTATATTGGTAACTAATAGTTACAAATTAAAAACAGATCATAAATTTATGCCTTTATGGTTATAAACACCAAAAATCACAAACTGCAAGGATCAAAAGAACAGCAAAATTAACAATCTAAATAGAAAGAGATCAAAAGAAGTTAAAAAGATTCTTCTAGTTATAAGTTAAGGGAACAGAGAGACAACCAAAAGCAGAAACATTTAAAGAATGTTCATGGCCCTAAGGCAAAACCTTAAAAATATAAACATAATAAGACATAAATAGGGAAAAAAAAAAACATCATTTTTGGCAACCTTGTGGACCATGTTACTCACTAAGGAAACATAAAAATGTAAAACCATTCAAAGTCTAGAGATATTTATGCAATCTCAACTCAGTGTTTAAAAAAATAAAAAAGGAAAAATATAATAATAATGAAAAAAAAATAAAAATAGAAATACACATTGTCAAACGGGGGCAAAAACGAGTGCGGTCTCAGTGAAGCGCACTATAAGTGGGTTAGCCCACTAGACTTATAAACTAGACTCATTTACCCTATCAAATCAACGGGGGACAACTCACAAGTGATATAAAATTGAAACACAACCCAATAAATCTATCAAGAAACCCAAATCCAAAGTCCCAAAATCAGGCAGAATTTACTAGTTACAGACAGCAAAACAAACAATTTTTAGCATCATTTAAGTTAAGATCTTGAACTATGAATGTACCATGATTTGGCTTCTTGTTCTGAAATCTTTTGTTGTTATTCCACCTTTGCCTCCTTCCACCACCCTCCATCATCAAAATCTCTAAATTCAAGACCAAAAAAAAAAAAACAAAAAAAAAAAGAAAATTCATGTAAGATAATCAAGAATTGGCTTCAAGATTCTCTAAACACTTACAATTAATAGAGACTGATTACAGTTCTGCCTTTTGCCAGTTTAAAGGGGACAACAAAAACCTGAGAAAGAGAGAAGGGAAGCAGAAAATTGCGAACAAATAATTTGTTAAAAGGGGTTTAAATAAACAAAATTTGGGACTTGGGTTTGTACAGTGATCATGAAAATAGAAACCTTCGACATTCAAAAAGTGATCTTTCTTGGCACAAAACGAAGAGCAAAAAAGGTCAGCAAAATAAGGACCTGCCCAAAAAAAAAAAAGTAGAGGTTTTTGTTTTCCACAAGTTGCCCAAGGTTTTCTTGTGTGTGAAAATTGCAATATTGATTTAAAAGGGGAGAAAGGCTGGCTGCAGTCCCGTTACGGAATTATTTTGTGCAATCGTTAGATTATTATGTAACCGTCAAGAATAGTTGATCTAACGGTCACAAACCCAACGAAATTGTTCCGAGACTGTAGCATCTCCATTCAAAGGGTTCAACACTCTTTAAGAGAGTGTATTTTTAGTATTTTTCATTAAATTCCTTTCTTTGCTTTCATTATTGTTTGAGGATTACAACAATGTTATTATGAGTTTATGTCAACTCTTTCGGATTATTCAAGAGCTATACAATTTTACCCTATTTTTGCCAAAATAAATTTATACAATTTTTTGTGTAGCACTACCTTAATCATCAAACGAGTTGACTTCCAAAATTTTTAATATAAAAATGTATACTTATCTAATGGAAAGTCATAAATTTGTTTACGTTCATTTTTCATAATATAATATTTCAATTTGATAGTATACATATTTGTTGAAAAGATAGTTGTTTAACTGTTAAATTTGCATTCAAATTCTTGTATGAGATAGTCTAACCGTTAGACTGGTCAACCCACCATCATCTGCGAAGAAAAGTACATACTTATACTATCAAGTATCAAATGTCATACTTTATCATACTTCTGTTTACGATTTTTTTGAAGTAAAATATTTTTAATGAAAGTATGCATATTTATGAAAAAGTATGGCGGCCTAATGGTTAAGCCGACTTACAGAAAACCTATAGTAATTTGTATAGCAGCAAACTTAATTCATGATTTTAACATTATTATGATATAACAAGTTTAATAGACTCTCATCATGTCCAAAGTATAGGTGACTTTAATATTTTGATTTCTTTTGTGGGTGTTTTTCTCCATATATAAGTGCATGGATTTTTTACTTTATGCAATACAAAGTGTAATTTGGATGACAACCACAAAATAAAAATATTGGTTTTTATATGTTTAGGCCAACATAATGTACAACATAACTTTCATGTTTTGTACCTCTTCTTATGATTCACAAACCTTGAAATTATTCATATGATATCATAACGTAGCCTATTTATTAGTTAGAAAATGAATTTTCTACTTAAAATGGTATTATATACATCACACACGGTGAAAGGAATAAGTTGATTTCGAAAACTCGTAAGAATAAGAAAATGGCCCAATTTAAAGCTCAATATTCAATGTTCGACAATTGCAAGGCCCAATTTGAAGATCAATATTATCGACGTTCAATATAGGTGTGCACAAAGTTCGGTTAACTAAGCCGAACCAATCTATCTGCTCAATATTCAATGTTCAATATACAAATAGATTAATATATTCTGAAATTGTAAAAGTACGAGGCCTAATCTATAGCTCGACGTTACAATATCTTATCAAAAAAACCTTATCAGGAAATCAACAACCATTGTTTGAAAAATAAATTACATGTTCCAATGCCTAGCCTAAATTAATGATATCTGAAAAAAAGGGTTTGATTGGAAGCAATGGAACTCTACTTTTCATCATTTTTTTCGACACTTCTTTTATTTTACTATTAATTGTGTATATTAATTAGTATCCTTCTACAATTAACTAGCTCATATAAAAGATTTCAACTCTTTTTATTGCTCATGCTAGGGCTGATATTTTATTTTAACCTAGCCGATATTTTTTGACCGAAAATCGAAAATCGAACCAAAAACTGAAGCAATGAGAAAATAAACCGAATCGAACCGACTTATATGTAATGGTAACCGAAAATCGATTATCGAAATGTTATTGGTTCTGAATCCATTATGTCATGTCTTTTGTCCCCTCTCAACTAATTTTCTGGCTTCGCCAGACATTGTAATTTCTTATTGAATTAATAAGGACATTATAAAACAACTGACATCTTAAAATGATTTAAATTAAGAGAATTTAATTTAATCCTTTTAATTAATTCGAACAAACTATTATATCCATACATTCCTCAATGCACACAATCCTTCGTGAACTACGAGTCAATATTATCTAAGTCCACCGCTAGAGTTATAAATGAGTTTGAATTCCAACTCATGATACTCAAAACTTTTTATCAAGTCTAGTTGTTACCAAATTAATAAGCCTATAAATGAGCTCGAGTATGGCTCGTGTATTAATATTATCTATCTTAATTTGAACGTTAATAAGCAAAACTATAAAAAAATTAGATATATAAAAAAATCTTACTTTTTAGCCTTGATGAAATTAATTAAGTAAATTTTAAACAAGCTCGAATTTGGCACGTTTTATCAAACGAGACAAGTCGAAATCGAATGTTAAAAAACCAAACCGAATCGAACTCATAACCGGTTTGTTGTAGTCCGCCTGGAATCATTGGAAGAGAATCATTTAGTACCGTTCAAATGTCATAAACAGAATTCCATTTTTGACCTTCAAAATTATGTTTATTACCTTTGTAGTCTCTTATCCAAATTAAATTGCATGAAAATAATTAGCCACCTGTGCATATACATAGGAATGCTCATGCCACGTGTAGCTGATTTTGACGATGATGCCCCCCATATTTCTTATCCTTGCAAGGGCGTTTTGGGGGTTTCACATCTGAACTAATTGTGTTGGCATTTAGCTTTCATTCATGGAGGATGTGATTCATGTGAAGACAATCTCTTCATGGGCTTATGTGTCATGTTGCAAAATTCAATTCATTGTGTTTTGGATATGTATATAGTTCAAATTTTTTGTCCATATATATTTTTTTTGGAGGTGGAATTATTACTTAATAAATTGAATTTTATGAATCCATACATGTTTTTTTAATCATAATTTGGAATATATATTATTTTTTTGTGAATATAATTATTCTATCGTTGGAAAGAAAGAAAAAAAAAATTGGAATATATATTTGATAAAACAATTAATATATTATAAAATTGAGTTAATTAGAATATCCATTGAAATCAACTAGCTAGAATATTCAAAAAGGACACTGCCTTTTATTTGATCTTTTTCCATAAAATAAGGGAGCCCCTTTTTTTTTTTGGTACACTGGAAGAGTGGATAATCCACGTCGATAAGGTCATGTTGAAGCCATTGCCGTAGGCCCCCAGGTGGTTCATCAAAATGCTGACACCTCAATGGACCTCCGCATCAAAATGCTGACACCTCAATGGACCTCTGCGGCAAAGGAAGCCAAGAAATCGACCGCATAATTCGCCTCACGAAATATGTGGTTAACTTTTACTTTTCATGGTCGACTCAAGAGCTCTTTGATCCCCGAAACTAAACCTATGTGGACTCCCGAGACATCATCCATAGCGGTAGCGAAGGCCACGACACCCGCATTATCCACTTCGGCCTCTACATGTCGAAACCCCAAATCTCAGACAAGAGACAAACCTTGGAAAAATCCCCAAAGTTTCGCCGTCATGATTGAGCAAATACCTATGTTCATTGAGAACCCATCAAGTCAATGTCATTGAGCAAATAAGGGAGCCCCATTTTAATATAGTTATATGATATAATATTATATGTAAGCCATTTGATATAATATAAATAAGTAGTTGATAATATTTTATGAAATATATATATTATTTATTTATTTATGCTTGTGTGGGCTATGTTGATAACACATAGCCGAAAGAGAGTAGCATCAATTGCCAGCCAGGTCCAATATTATGCCTGATCCTTATAGGAAACTAAATTTAATAAACCACTGTTATTTTACTTTGAAATGAAAAAATATATATATATATATATGATTTAGTAATTAATTTTTCTATTATTGTGTAAAAAAATTTGTCCTTCACAATGTGTTATCAATCATGTTTGTGCTTCATTATCGTGTTTTGAGAACCAATAAATATTCAAAATAATATAATTTCAAAACATATTAAATTATACAATTTTCTAAAAAAAAAACAATAATTCATAAAACTAAATATATGATTTTTTTTTTTTAAATATCTATAAAATCCATATATGTATTAGACGGTGGACATGACAACATGGCAAATTTGGGAGAAGAAAAAAAAAACAAAGGGATCTGCCAAATTTCACTGTCATATTTACGTGGGATCTTTTCCGAAGCTAAACAGAAAAGGGCCCATAGGGTTTAGGGTTTAGTGCAAAAAAACATTAGTATGTTCCAGAAAAAAGTCCTTTGAGGAAATTAAAGCACAGAATTTCAGTCTGTTTAGTAGTACTTTTGCACCGTTTAGCATAACTATTAATTAGTTCTTGTCCGGTCTCCTGCGTGATTATACTGGTTGTTTCGTTGGGGGTTTCATCATGAATATTGGGTTTAGCTCTATTATGGGAGCGGAGATTTGGGGGTTACTCCAAGGCCTTCTTCTTGCATGGGAGTTAGGGCATCGACAGGTTGTAGCAGATGTCGATAGCAAGGCAGTGGTAGACGTGGTAAATGGATGGGCGGAAATGGAGGGTGCCCACAACAGCCTCATCCGAGCCATTAAAGAATTGCGGAGTTGGGAATGGCTC